GAAATATTATTTTTTCATTACACTTTATGTGTTTCAAATCATTTAATCATTTTGTTTCACATACAAATCGGCATCCATACGGCGTATATTACTTTAAGTCAGTGACTCATGTCTCGATTTACTTCATTCAGGGTCATCTAACCATTTGAAAAAACCCAGTGATGGACCCCCTCGACAGAGCTCAAGTTCTCCTCCTTTGTGACCTGTGTGAACGAGCTGCATTACAGAGTCATTGTGAACTTTGTCAGATTAACCTGTGTAAGGCCTGTGTAGGGGAGCATCTCTCTGATTCATCTAAAAGACACAATGTTGTACCATACAAACACAGAACTTCTATTCCTAACATTAACTACCCAAAATGTCCAAACCACACCAAGAAACATTGTGAACTTTACTGTGAGAAATGTGACATTCCTGTCTGTTCTACCTGCATCTCCTCTGAAAAACATTATGGACATAAATTGACAGATGTCTTACATAATCCCAGATATATGAGAGAAATTCTAAACAACGATTTGAAAGAATTAGAAAAAAGAATATATCCTAAGTATGAAGAAATTACATTAGATTTAAACTCTGAAAAAGTAAATTTGGAAAAACATTATAAGAAACTGACAACAGCTGTTAGCAAACAAGGAGAAGACTGGCACAGAGAAATCAACATCATTGTCAACAAACAGAAATCTGAAATTTATGAGATGAAAACTAAACACCTGGCTGCTCTATATAGACAGGAAAAAGAAATCAAACAGATTACATCTGATGTAAAACACAGCATACTTGATTTGAAAAAAATACTTGATTCTAATGATGTCTCGCTAACCTCTACATACAAATCTAGGAATACTGAATTCAGAAGTTTGCCCCCTGAAGTCAATATTTCATTACCAATTTTTTCTCCTAATCAGATCAATACAGAACAGCTCCATCAAATGTTCGGTTTTCTGTCAGCATTATATATTACAACGGAAGAACATGGCTACTCAAGGAAGACACAAGAAGTAACCTATCCTCCAGTCAAACCATTGTTTGATGAAACAGAGCTTATCACCGCCATAGACACTGGGTATCGCAGTCTATACAGTGTTACCTGTCTCAGTGATGAAGAAATCTGGACATGTGGGAATGACAAAGTCATCAAACTCTACAACCTCCAGGGTAAATTACTGAGGTCAATCCAAACCAAGTCTGGGTATATACCATGCGATATAGCAGTGACAAGGAGTGGAGATCTAGTTTATACCGACCCTGAAACAAGAACTGTAAACATAGTGAATAATGACCAGATACAGGAAGTGATCAGACTCCAGGGGTGGAAACCTTACTATGTATGTGGTACCTCCTCTGGTGACCTCCTGGTTACCATGCTCAGTGATGATGATAAACAATCATAAGTTGTCCGTTACTCTGGCCCTACAGAGAAACAAACCATTCAATTTGATATAAAGGTAAACCTCTGTATTCATTAACTACCTATGCTAAATACGTCAGTGAGAACAGGAACCTGGATATCTGTGTGGCTGACTGCACAGCCCATGCAGTAGTTGTGGTTAATCACGCAGGGAAGCTCCGATTTAAATACATTTGTCGTAACTTGGGATCATTTAATCCATGCGGCATCACAACAGACAGCCAGAGTCAGATCCTGATACCAGACAGTGATAACCTCTATATGCACATCCTAGATCAGGACGGACAGTTCCTCCGTTTCATTTATAACTGTAACCTACGGGATTCATGGAAAGCATGTGTAGACACTAAAGACAACCTCTTTGTAGCTGAGTATAGCAGTGGTAAAGTGAAGAAAATCCAATATATGTAAACAATGTGTTTTAAATGATGACGTGTTGAGATAGAATTTTTTCCAAAGACCAAAATCTCAAGATGTTATTTAATTCAGGATCACTTTCCAGTGCTCAATGACATGTGTGTGTGTGTTTGTGTGTGTGTGAGGGTGTGTGTGTGTGTGTGTGTGTGTGCGTGAGGGTGTGTGTGTGTGTGTGTGTGAGAGAGAGAGAGAGAGAGAGAGAGAGAGAGAGAGAGAGAGGGTGTGTGTATGTGTGTGTGAAATTAATTTCAATATTATATTACATGTACATGAATCAAATAAGGAATGAATAATAATAGCTACCCATTTCATACGGTATAAACTGGGTAAACACTTTACCCATTTTACGCCTTATAAACTGCGAAGTGGTGTATAAAAAAGCGTAAACTGTTCCAACCCATTGTATACCGTATACAATAGGCTCTAGGGCCTTGAATCGCTCTTTTGATAATTGTACAATCTTTCACTTCTATTTTAAGCCTCTAACCCTAAGTATCCTAAGACCCAACTTGCATTAACTGACAAAATTTGATGATTCTTAGCCAATTAGGACTGAAGATATTTTAATAAATCTATAAAAAAAAACATAAGTAGGCCACATTTACATACTTTAAGATTGAATTTTTGTGATGACTCAAGATGCATAAATAGATAAAGATTGAAGATTGTAAG